TGGTCTTACTAGACACATAGTTAACTTCGGATCGTTAGAGGAGTAAATAAAGTGAGACATCTATAACGAGAAAGTCTCAAAGTGATAACTGCGGAGCGGAGGGCTTCTTATTTGCAGTTACAAGAATTTTCGTTATTGCATAAAATATTAATTTACATGTCTACTATGTTGCAGTTGCCGTGAAAATAATGTCAAATACATATTATGTGCCAGCGCTGTCAAATCATGTAAATGATCGATCCTTAAAATTCCATCTGCCCTTTAACGTTCCCTTTATTTTTGAAAATTGCTTATCAAAAAGTAATGCCTGAGGTATGTGAAGGATGGGCATCACTACAGTATTGCTTTGGGTCATGAAACAATAAAAAAGCTGCAGCTGTTTTTATTCAATATGCAGTAATTTTATAAGAAACTCTGCTGCCACGCATTTCTTAGTCAAAACATTATAAAATTTATGGTGGTATGTCCGATCGCTATATCAAAATCATGAGCGATTAAGCCAATAGGTCCATTGTAATACCGCTGTGAGGCTCCTGCCTTCACCATTTTGTGTGCTTTATAAAGGCTACGAAATTTCCCATTGTCGCTGATGCTACCTCAGCGAGGCAGTCGAAGAAGGAGGAATTTGTGTAGCTCAAAAGTCAAGGCAGAACTGTGACAGGAGTAGTATCCAATAGACTCCTCTTCTTCTTTGTTACTACAGCTGTTGCAAAAATTATTATTTTCCCGTGTATCCCATTTTAAACTCTAGCATTATTTCGCCCGTCATTGTGTCAATAGGGAACCAATCTAAAAGGATTTTGATTTTTTTGCTGTCAGGTCATGTTGCGCGTCATCTCATCCAGCCATCTTGAGTCTGCCTCTTTGGCAAAGTTCAGCTTAAGCATGCTTCATGCCATGAATAAAGGTAATCCTGCATCGTAAGCATAGAAGGGTTCCTTTTCTCGCTGGTTCGACTGCAATGCAATCACCTAGGGTGACACAGTGTCCGGTTACCCAGATCCTGGTAGTCTTGCATGTATTTAGTAGAGAGTTTATACTGATCGCTTCTACATTTTTATTGTAATAGTTATTTTGGTCCGAATTACAATTGGGAGCACTTTTTCCTCTGGACTGGGTTCGTTTTTATGACGCTGATTTCCTTAATATACAGAACATATAGGGTGTTCCATCTTTTATGTCGGTATGTAAACGGCGAATAACTCTTACCGAGTGATTGCATCAGATATGTTTTGGAAACGTCAATTTAGTGCAATTTTTGCCCCGGATCGCTTCACACCGAAACAACGCTGAAATAATGAAACTTTAGAGCGAAAACAGTCGTTCGATTGTGTTAACTCAACGTGCATATCGGAAAAAATATCGCGACTACAATGCACCATCTGACAGATCACCTCATTTAATCCATCATATGAGATATTACATTTCATAAATTATTATAAAATTAATATTAGACAAAAAAGATCTTAGCCATGTTGAAATTACATGCGAACGAGCCGCGGGTAAACTCTAGTTATATATAAAATATTTTAACTCTACGAAGAATTCATCGTCGGTCTAGCAAATATTTTTCTAAAAGTAGGTTTTAGCCTGTATCGTCAAAATGGGCCAACGTCAATAAAGAAGAAGAAGAAGAAGAAGCGAGCCTGCATCATAGTATAAAATATTTATTCTTATCTGTAAAGTTGAGATGGGAATGTGAATTATTTAATATATTAGCTGAAGTGAGTTTGATGAGAGTTCGCGCTGTTTGTTCTTTCTCTTTTTTAATATAATCAAATGTATTTGTTGCTGTTGTTAAATATACATAGAACGAGTACACACAGTTCTCTTAATTAGTTATAAATTTCGGGTTCGAATTTAGTTTTTCATGCGCTGGCTGAATTTTCATCTAAAGATTAAAAAAAAACATGTACTGTAATAGATCAGCAACTTTTCCTTTAGGTAGTTCATTTATCAAAGTATAAACATAACCAAAAAGGACCGTGAAAGTAATCAAGACTCATATGCTCAGAAAAAAGCAAATTTTAAAGGTAATTGAGATTCTGATGAGACTTTGCCTTATTAAACTATGAAAGGATTTTCAGAAGATGCTTCACGGTTACGCAGAAGACTCTTTGAAGTATCAGTAGAAAACTTTTTAAAAGTCGCTAGAGAATAAAAGCGGTTGAAAAAAGAGTTAAAGTGTCAGAATATTGTTCGCAGTTGCACATTATATTGGCATAGTCGTGTCGGTGTTTCCACATTTGGCCAAAAATTGTTGACAAAGTTGCGCAGAATTTCGAAACGCATTTGGTATGAGCTACACTTCCTCGAAAGCCTTAAAACTCATAATTCAAATTCATTGAATAATTTTCAGTAAAAAAATATTATATGTTTTGTTCGACTATTTTCTTAAATGCATTTTTATTATAATTATTTTTCTGTTCTGAGTTAATAAGCTCTAATTGAAAGCCTTTAATTTGCTTCATTCGAGAATAGTCCTGTTCGCTTATAAATTTTTATTGTAATTTTTTCATTTTCATTCACTTTTTTAATGATATTATTATTTATTTTCAAAAGCTGTTTTAAGACTTTACAATTGAAGGAATTATTTTTTATGCGTGGCACAAAATGGAACTTTTTGATTTTCCGTAATATTATCAATTGCAAGTCATTTCCGATTTAGGTTTGTGGCAAAAGTCTTTTATTTTACACAGCACCAGTAATCAATTTTACGTGTTAAAGAAAAGAATCAAAATTTAAGAGAATGTAAATGATAAATTTAAATATGCAGAACTGTTAGTAAAAAAGCAGTTTTGAGCCGTTAGAGTTCTTCAGGGCACTTACACCAGCGTAATATTTGTTTCAATGGAACGTAAATTTATTTACTTTTAGTTATGCACTTCATGTGTCAGAATATGTTTAAACTGCATTATTTGTTTAATATACTATCAAAATGTATCTAAAAAATCCACATATTTGAAGCAAACGATTTTTAGAAATTTTCTAAACATTTCTCTGGTCACTTCACGTTCAGGTTTGTAGCAAAAGTCTTTTATCTTACTCAAGGACATTCGTTTAACTCGTTTTAAAAATAGAAAATAATTTTCTTAGCACAAAATTATACTGTAAAAGAGTACATGAAAGAAAATGTGAGGAGTTTTAATTAAAAAAAGGAAGAAAAATTCCTGGTTTTTGAATTACAATATATCATTCATGCTTTGTGAATGCTGAAACGTTTTCCCGCCGCGCTTCTCCTATAATTTGTAATATTTCTCTCGACGTTTATCCAACAAAAGGAAATACTAATATATTAAATAGGCCGCTCCCGAACGGCTGTTGGATTTTTATGTTGTCAGTAAAACGCTCGGAGCGCTCGATATTCCTCGGCATGGAATTGGGTCTACTTTAGAAAAAATACTTGTTCTTAGTTTAATTTTTTCAACCACTCGCCACTTTTGGTCTTGAGTTATTAATGACAAATTTACTAACATGTACGTTGCCAAACAGGTGAAGAGTCGTCATCCACTTCAAACCTCAAGTTTTTCATTGGATTTTCGCAACAAAATTATTTATTTATTTATTGTTTTTATGGAAGGTGCTAACACATATTTCTTTATAATTACCAATACTTCTCATATCAATGTATGATAGTCCAGTTCAGTATTTTTCAAGACACATGAGTAGGCACAGACGCCAAGACATTTATTTTAGTATTTAAAAAATAAAAATTAAATCGAATTTAAAAAAATTTCAAAAATAAAGAAATAGTTCTGATCACTTCAGTTTCATATTTGTTGAATTTTTCTTACTTTAAAACGAATTAAATTAATTTCATGTAATTTAGGCAGGTTCGTTGCTTAAGTCTTTCTTGGCGTTGAGCTTTAGAATTTCTCATCGTTTTTGGGTAGCAAATCAACGATAGTTGCGACATAATTTTTTTGGTGCAGAAAAATATTCATTTTATATTTAATAATTTCAAAGAAATAATATCATTTCTCAAACCACCTGCTACCTTAGGTGCAGCAACAACAATTATAGCAAACACATACTCAGAATACACACCAACACAGTTAACCATATAAACACACTGCAAATTTCCTTAAAACATACTGCATATGCCGTTATTTGTCTGCTAATAATTGGAAAACTATTTTCCTTCGTATATATATATATGTGTACATGTATATATGTGTGTATATTTTTACATCCATGCGTATAGAGGTTTAAGCGAGAAAATTAAAATTATTTCAATAGGAGGTTAGCCATAATAACATTCATTGCAGCAACATTTACGGCTGCCGCAACTGCTGCTTACTTGAAACAACAACAACAACAACAACAACAACAACAATCGCAGCAATTGCACAGACAACACAAATAAATGACCAAACTTGCTAGAGAGCCAACACCAACGGCAGGCAATAGCAGTAGCGTTGGCCGCAGCAGCAAAAACAAAAAGGAAAAAACAACAACAAAAGACAAACAGCACAGCAGTTGGAGCGCAAAGAACCCGTTTGACTTGTTGAAAAATATTTCTTTTCACTTTGTTTATTTTTTTTTTTTTGTTTTTTGTTTTATTTTTATTTATTTAATTTTTAGTTTTTGCGCTTTGTTGTTGCTTATATACTATTGTACTATTGTATTTCATTTATTTTTTGTTTTTCACTTTATTTATTTATATTTTTACCACACACACACACACACGCTGGCTGACAGTAAGCAAACAGCGCCAGCGCTACAACAACAGCAGCACCTTCAACAGCACAGCGTAGAGCACAGCAAAGCGACGACGTTGTTGTCTGCTCAAGTTCCAGCAGCAGCGAGCATGTGGTACAACAACGTATGTTGCTTTTGCTTGGCAAATAAGAGTATACACAATATTCCAAATGGAAAAATCGCGTTGCAAAGTTTTGCACAAAATTTCTGTATTTTTTCTTCTAATTTATTTTCACTCCTGAATACAAATAAATAGCAACTGTGACTAGGAGTTTTACTAAAATAACTTGTATGCTTACATTTCCCAAAAGACACTGGCAGTGGTATTCCTCTTTTTTCCAATAGCAACTTGATGTTATTGTTATTCCAGCGCGTATTCAGCGAGTTTTGTGGCACTTGGTCTGAACACTTGCGCTCGTAGCACTTGAAGCTGTTGAAAAATTGTTGTATATATATATAAAATTTATTGATTTGTTGTTGCCAAAATGCAACTTGTTACTCTTTATTTACTTGTTTACTTATTTGTTGCTGCGTATATATGTATAGTCGGCAACAAATGACAATAACAAATGCTTAAAATTGCAATTTTATATTATTTCTTGCAACACCACACTTCATAATACTTGTTTTGCACATATATTTTCATATACATACATATATGATTTCATTATTTATTTCATTATTTTATTACATGCCAGCAATACTTGTGTGTAAAATATTAAAATTCCGGCATTAAAATTTTTTATTTTGTTTTAATTTCTTAAAATTTCGAACTCACTCCGCGCGCCGATTTAACATTTGGAACCTTTTTGAATTCGTCACTCCATCAAACCAGGCACCTTCTAATTGGCCACAAAAATACTTTTCTTTCACTTGCCCAACTCACACCATTTTCCGCGATTTGTTATTGACCGCGCGTTGCTCGTTTTCCAATTCGAATTTCTTACCCGTCAAATTTGCACAATAAAATTTTTCATATAAATTTGCAAACTACACGTGATTGTGGCAAATTGGATTTTGCTATTAACAATAAAAATATATATATATATAGATCTTATTTATTCCACACTTCACACACTGCAAATATAATATAATTGTAATATCGTATGTAGGCAGTTTTGATGGAATCCAATACCGGTGGAAAAAACGCGCTACGCTACACTATCAAAGCAGGCGCATAAAAACCTTCCGCTCACGTAAAACGCTCACTGATTTTACAACGAAAACACACGAAGAACTGATTTGGAGTTTTTCTTTTCTACCTGAGCATACCATACCTGGACAAAATGCTTGGAGCAAGTGTGGTGGCATTCAACAGCAACTCGGCTAACAAACAGCAATGGTAAAAATGCTAACTGACACTAGCTCTGCCACAGCGTTGCTAGCAAAGGCAACAACAAGCAGTGCCAATGGGTAGTTGGCAAAAACATAAGCGGTAAGAGACATGGCAGCATAAATGTTGGTGAGACACCATAAGCATAACCGAATTCACCACACTACATGGCGCAGAGCGTAGAGACCAAACAGAGACAAAGATCAAGTGGAATGAATACCAAGTTGAAGGCACAAAGTGGTAAAAAACTAATAAAAAAAAACTAATAAAAAAAAACATGAAGGCAAGTAAGGGAGGGTGGAATTCGCTGTTTTATCATGCTTGTGTCAAGATTCTTATAATTTCACAGCGATGCCGCTAAAGTGAGGATAGGACGAGCCCCGTTTTCATGGGGATGGCATAGTGAATGGGGCTGGAAGTACAAGAAGAAACTCGAACACGTGGGCGAAAGAGTAGATCAGTCGCCAAAAATAGATGTTTGTTAGTTTATTGGACACTACGTATTCCTAACTTTTCTGGCAACAGTTTGGAAAGAGGTGAAACGGAGCTCAAAACCACATCATCTGGTCTTCTTTGCGTTAAATGGCAGGACACCAAAAAAGTCTGAAGAAAATTAAAATGAAAAAATTGAAATTATGAAGTGGACAAAATATTTTATTTAACAAAGTTCTATCAACAAACTAAATATACCCTCTTCAAGTAGACTCTGCGCAGTAGTGGGTATAGGCATACATAGACCAAACCATGCTGGCACATAAAAGGCACCAAAGCAGCCAAAACAACCGGTGTTATGTATGTGTATGGCTAGTACAAGTACGCGTGTGTGAGTAGTTACTATATATATATATCTGCTGCCGTCATTGCAGCTCCTCTTTAGCGGCTTAATGTTGATCATTGAGTATGAGCAAAAGAAGTTTTCACTGTAAGAGTGTAACCTGTGACCATTTGTGCAACGAGTGTCCAAGCTCACATCAAGCTGAGTTGTAGTATTCCATTGAACTGAGCTCTAACTTAGCTATTATGCTCTTCTGGATGATCATCAGAGCCGCAGCCGTAGCAGCAACAGCAACAGCAACATCAATAACAGCAATGAATACTCGCGCATATGAGTTGTTCAGTTTTTGTGCTTATATGTATAAACGAGTATATATACACGTGTATGTATGTATGTACGTATGTACTCATATTCATGGTGCAATTGTGGCAAGGCAAGGGCAATGAGGTGAGTATAAATTTGTATGTGCATGTGTGTGTGTAGATGTATATTTATATAAAAGAATTTAGAATTGTAAAAAATCTCCGAATACAAAAGAAACAAAAACAAAAACTAAAATTTAAGTACACTGCGCGAAATAATTTTTGGCATTATCACTGCTCAGTGCATATGAAGTGCTACATACGTATATATCAGAGCTCTAGATACCCTGGTATCGAGCACTGTGAACAGACCGATAAAATTATAAAATAAAGTTCTGGAGAAATTTGTTATTCAAAATGTTCGAAAAGGCACAAATTTTCGAGCAATGAGCAATCAATGAGTGTGCGATTATTCGAAAATATTCGAACAAAATCTTGAGCTCCAATATACATACATATGCCAACTGAGCCTGAGGAGCTTAGTCTATTGAAGGCTATTTTCGAGACGAGTTTCAAACGCTGGGATGCCTTTTCTGGCGATTTTGGTCATGCGTATCGGTAAAACAGGCTCTGATGACCATCTACTTACTCACGGTGAATTCTCTTCTCTAGCAGAACAGCCACAGTTTTGGCATCTTATATCAGAGCAGGTGGTTTCTCATTAATTCCGAATGAGCCTTTAGCTAAATTGTCAATTATCTTTGATGAGAAAAAAGTCAAAACTTTGTTTGTTCTGCTTTAATTTTTAAATTTCTACTGTTTGATATCAAAAACGAGTAAATAAAATAAAATCATAGTTCTATGCGGTGAAATCCGAGACCCTCTTTAGTACCCTCCTCCTTACTTATCGGTGCTGTGGTTCACACACGGAGAACTCACCATTCCATTAGTATAGCGTAAAGAAGCGATTCATCTACTTTCTAATAACAGAAGAGTGTACATTTACTTGGTGCAAGGTCACACCTTCATTGAAGGTAACGAGACAGCTGACGAGCTGGCTAAAGAGGGTGTATATTTAGAACAGAACGCAGTAACAAACCTTCCAGTTCCATCGAGGAAAATGAATCAAAAGCAAGAAGTAACACTACTTCGTCAGCCGAATAAACTCTGTAGACGATCTAATAGCCTATTTCCACCAAGCACTTAAATGCATTTAAGGCCTCTGTTAAGTAAATGAAATATCAAACGTTTCCACCGAAAGTGAGTTAACTCAAACAGATTTTTGTTTACATTTGCAGTTTACAAAATTTGCCACAACTATAGAAATCATGAATTCAAGAGACCGCATTCATTTTATTTGGCTATTTCTGCAATCTTAAGACTAGCAAGTGCAGATTATTTCTGCACGGACAAACGTTGCTGAAACGAAAACGCTTTTATGCATGTTTCCATTTTCATATTTGTTTCTTTGTTCCCTCAAATTATTTATTTTGCGCAATCAGCTGATAGTTACCAGAGCCACGTATATTTTTATGTTGAGGGGATCGTTTGATATTTCACAATTGTTTTTTGTTTGTTTCTTATAGTTTTTTTTTGAAGGCGGAGAAGCATTATTTTCGCCAATTACTTAATATAGGCATTTATGTTAATACTAATGCAAAATAGGAATTTTTATACAAAAAATTTCACCATGCAAAATAAAAATCTCGCCCCTCATTAAATCCGAAAATACACGACTCTGGCAAGAAGTACACCGAAACTTCCGAAATGATTACATTATTAGTGACAGAATCGAATGTTAACATAACATTTTCTGTTAAATTGCCGAAAGTGAGTTAACTCACTTTGAAAAGTGAGTTAACACACTTTTATACAACAACAAACACATGGGAATTACCGCATTTAAATGCGATGTTTAAATACATTTAAGCTAAAATGCATTTAAGGTCCGGTGGAAATAGGCTATAAGGGCTGCAGAACCACGAAAACCATATGTAAAACATATAATATTAAATTAGCAAAGTTTGTACTATCTTCAAAGAGGCCAGTCTCCAAGCTGCTAAAAGAACTATAACCAGAGCATATCATTTTGATGTTGCATACTTTTATTGTAAGGAACGAAAGGAATGTTTGGAGACCTAGAGCACGTAATCTGTGTGTGCCTGGCATTCGACCGACAAATGCTTATGCTATGCTTACTTGGGGAGGAAAAAGGGTAGAGGATATACAATCAGAAATGACCAAGGGGCCAGAACGACTACTTTATTTGGCGAAAAGTGCAGCATTGCTCATTACTCTAGAGAAACAAATGCAACAGTATGGATGTATTATCGTCTAAGTGCGACCCAGCCAGCTTAACCTAAACTTAACTTTTGTATAGTTTGAGATATTCAGAGTCCGTATCAGACCGAGTAATTTGTTGTCGGAGCCTCCGCTAAATATTAATCGTTTCCTAGTAGCGAAAATTCCAATAGACAGTTTTAGTTGAGATAATCTGCTGCTTCTACTTTTGTGAAATTCTTAAATACCTCAACTAACCTTAACGAAATCTCGCATTATCAAGAAAAGCCAAGTAATTTTATTCTCGAAATTGATGAACTGACCGGTATCGAATTCGAATACTCCATTTGGAACTTCTTTTCTCTCAGCTACGATCATAAATTACTTCATTGAGAATTTTAGAGGAACACCTTATTTAGGTCCATCCAAACAAGAGCTGGAAAAGAGGGGCTAATTGTACTTCTATCGCCCATTGAGACAAAGGAATTTCTCAACACAAGTTGAGCAAAGAGTGTGGGATAAAAGATGACACTAAGGTTATGTGCATAATCGTCCTCAATGAAGGAAACTTTTCTATATATTTTATGGTGCCACCACACGAATGCCAGCTGTATTGTCTAGAGCCAATTTACTCACTTTAGTCAGCAAATCTTCCTTTAGACGAGACCGAAATAAAGCCAAACGTCAGAGCCTGCCAGTTCACTGGAATCCTAGAGATAAAATTTAAATCAACTCCGATGATAGAATTTCAGAAAACACGCTCAAAATCCGCTCACAACAATACTTTTTTTACCATGTAAACAAAGCACAGCGTGATGCCAATGTTCCTGCTGCTCATCTTATTGTCATGTTGCATTCAAACAAAATGGGCACCGAAATCTCACAAAGCATAAAGCTAAAGCCAAACCAGCCAGTCAACCAGGCATTCAGCGAGCTAGTCAGCCAGTCAAACAACCAAAACCCATACCAATCAACAAAACAACATA